AACCCAGAAAATTGACAAAAATAATTAAAATTAAGACTAAATACTTGTGGGATCATGCAAAAAAAAAAAAAGGATCCACACTCATTGTCAGTAGAATGGTAAACAGAAAAATTTTTGGAGACCACTCTGGCAGTACAAAGTAACAAAACTAGTCATATCCTCTGAGTCAGTTACATGTCCAGTTTAGCTATCCACACTTGGGTTCATCATCTGTAACTGTATTACTTTCTTGATTCTGAAATCTTAAATTCCTCTTTCTGATCATGATTTCTTATCCTTCAATTTCTCCCCTCTTTCTCATTCCTTTAAAAACCATTCTTCATCTGCTACTTCCAGTTCTAGATTCTAGAACATCACTTCTGCTCTGGCTTTGCTTTCTTCTCTTGAGTGTCACAGAAGACTAGCTCAACTATGCACTGTGATAAATCCTGAATAACTCCCCATACATCCTGTCCCACGTTATCTTTGTATCAACTTTGTCAAACCTGGATTCTTCATTAACTGAACTATTCATTTTGCTCTTAAATCATGATACAGAAAATTCTATAACCGTGGTGATGAGGGTAATCTATAAATTTGTTATGTTAGTCACAGTACACCACAGGTAATAAGAGGTCATACAATAAACCAATCAGAGGATTAAGGAAAGAAATATTTCTATATAAATAGAAAAGTTTATGCATAAACAAAAAATTAAAAATGAGAAATTTAGTTAAAATTAGAAGTAGAACTAACTAGGAAAAAAATCTTTGTACAACATTTTTCTGAGATAGTCCTCCTATTCAAGATACACAAGGAGGTGATCTGCATATAACAAGAATCATTCCCCAATACACGAATGGTCAAAGTATAGGAACAGTCAGTTCTTAAAGATGTTCAAGCTATTGATAGCCTAATGAAAAAACTCTCCAAATCACTAATAATCAGAGAAAAGAAAATTATAACAATTCTGAGATTCCACATCATACTCACTGGATTGGCAAAGATGACAAAAAAACAAAATTACAATTGTCAATCAGTTAATAAGCTCTTTCTCAACTGCTTATTTTGTGCCAGATACTGTGCTAAGCTATGGTGATATAAAGACAGACCAAAATAGGATCTCTGTTCTTGAAGAACTCACATTCTAATGGAGGAAACAACATGCAAATAACTATGTATATATAAGATACATATAGAGAAGATGGAAGATAATTTTCAGTGAAAAAGCACTAGATGCAAGGGAGTGGGGACAGGACAGCCTAGGAGACACCTTCTGCAGAAGGTGGAATTTGAGCTTGAGTCTTGAAGGAATCCATAGAAAGGGACAAGAGATGAGAGGGTAAATCACTCCAGGCATGGGAAACAGTGCAGAGTTGGGAGATGGAATGTCATGTAAGGAACAGTTAGGACTGTCAAGGTAGGAAGGTGTCAGCTTCTGGAGGGCTAGAGATGCCAAATGAATGATTTTTGTTCGTTTGTTTGATCTTGAAAGTAAAGAGGAGCCATTGGAATTTACATAGGAGGTGTGGAATGACACTAGGAAAATCATTTTGGCAGCTGAGTGCAAGATGGATTGGAGTGGGGAGAGAGCTGAGGTAGGGAGACCATCTAGAAAGTTATTGCAATAGTCCAAGAAAAAAGGTGATTGAGAGCTTGTACTACAGCACATTAGGGAATAAAATGCAGTTGGAAAGACAAGGAAAGATAAGTGAAATCATGAAAGCTATTTTTGACCTCCCTGACTTCCTTCTAGATTCAGCTCAAATGATCCCTTATATAGGAGGCCTTTCTTGGTGCCCCACCCTTTCCTCCCCCATCCGTTTTCCTCTATGGTTACCTTCTTTCTACTCTGTGTGTATCTTCTAGGGATCTATTAGTTTATATATTGTTTCCCTTATTACTATGTAAGCTTCTTGAGGACAAAGACCCTGGTTATGCCTTTCTCTAGATCCCCAGCACTTAGCATGGTATCTGGCATATCGTAAGTGCTTAATAAATGCTTGTTGATTGACTGATACAACTAGCTCTAGAATTGATAGTCTCTTATATTTAGTGATTATGTAAACCTGAAACTATCATTTGTAAAAAATAACTTAGGAAACAAAGGAAAGGAATTATCAACTTGGAACTTGAGAAAAGGATTTATGAATCTCATTTTTTCTTTTTGATTTAGCAATTTCTTTTCCGAAAATAATATGACATAATTTACTCACTCTGAAGCCTGGATAAATGCGTTAAGACAAGTCTGACTGAGAGCTACTATTAACTATAGGATAAATAAAGTCAATATTAAGGCTCAGATTGAGCAGCTTTCTTTAAGTGCTGAAATCTATGTAAATTTAGAAAGAACAACCAAAAAATAGTTGTATGCAACTGAAAAACCTTAGCTAGCAGTTCTTTAGATTTCAACAGAGTTAATGAAATTCTATCCCCTGCATGGTATTATACAGCGTAGCAGGGCACTGAGAACAAGCAAATCCATACTGAGGTTTCTGCCAGAACCATTAATCAAGGTCTTACTGAAATATCACTCAAAGAATATATTGCTTTAAAGCATCAGTACAATTGCTTCTAGATGAAAAATGCCCACCTTATCCAATGGACTCACCAGGAGAGAAGAAACAACTTGCAATGGCAACAACAACTTCTACAAAAACTTTTTTTTTCCTGACAACTTCTCCAAATGGAAGAAGAGCAGCTTGCCTGCATTGGGCAGCCCTAAAAGGTATACATTTCATCATCTTTTCTTCATGTTCCTAGGAGGGACAGCTTTACTGTCCCAAATCTTTATGTCATGAATGTTACCTCCTAGATGCTTGGGAACCTTACTATGTTCTGCAAAAAGTACCTGAATTTCCTGATAAACTTATGAGCATTCAATGGAAAAGAATGTTTTGTGTTACTGCTTTCCTCTCACCTAGTTCCCCACTATTTCTTGCAAAGGGGTTTAGGTGAATTAATAAAGCCAGTAAGTTTTTTCTTCCTCTTTGGTTTTTTAGTAGCTCTTCCTACCCTCAAATATTACTGTGCAAGCCTAGGTAGTGCACTCAATAGAGCACTGGACCTAGGAGCTAAGAAGACCTGAGTTCAAGTACAGCTTCAGGCACTTACTGTGTGACTCTGGGCAAACCACTTAACCTATCTGTCTCAGTGTCCTCATCTGTAAAGTTGAGATAATCACAGCATCTACCTCTAAGAGATACTGTAGTAATCAAATGACATAATGTTTGTAATGTGCTTTTGAAACTTTTAAGCACTATATAAATGATATTATTACTTAAGACAAAGTTTAAAATTAGTTAATTTTCTCACACTGTCCTTATGTTAACTTGGTAAAAATTACGTTACATGCTCCCTTATACTCACATGTATATCTATGTTTTAGGCTGCACTAAGGGGAATAGAGACACAATGTTAGATAATGAGGTATTGAAAAGGTATACTTTCAGATAAGATGAAGATAGACACTTAAACTTTAGGACTTAATGATATTAGTTGGACTTTTAGACAGTATTATTCCATTGTTGTAATACAGTCCATTCATTCAGAAAACATTTATTCTATGTACCAAGTCACTGTTTGTGATCATGGACTTTGCCTTGTCAGGAAAAACTTCTTGACAAGAGGAGCTACCAGAAAACAGAATCAGTTCTCTGGGGAGATGATGAGTTTCCTGACATGTGGATCTACAAACCGGGGCTGAATGACTGATCATTTGTCTAGGATGTTATAGAAGGGATAAATGCTTTAAACAGGGATAGAACCAGGTGACCTCCAAATTCCCAACTAGAATTCTATAATTTCTTTCAGTAACTTATTGTGGAGCAGGAGAAAGGAGGGGAAGAGGAGAAGAGAGTACATATGACTTTGTGGATGATGATAATAAAAATAATTGTTATTATTATAACTAGCATTTATACAGTGTTTTAAGTTCTGCAAAGTATTTTACAGATATTATCTCATTTGACCCTCCCAACAATCCTGTGAAGTAAATGCTATTATTAGCCTCATTTAACAGATGAGGAAACTGAGGCTGAGAGGGCATAAGTGACTTGCCCAGTGTCAAACAGCTAAACAGCATCTGAGGTAGGATACAAACTCAGGTTGTCCTGACTCCAAATCCATCATTCTATCTACAACATCACCTACCTGCCTAGGCTGCATACATTCCTTTGTAAAACAAACCATTTGATTTTTTTTGACAGTTCGTGCTATGAACTCATTTCTTATACTGAGTTTGATTCTGATTTTGTACCTTCCACCCAAGTATTAAAAGTGTAGGTTGACTTGGTATAGAGGACTTAAAAAGAATATTTCTACTTCATCTTCTGCATGCTGGTGAATAAAGTACAAATAGCTTCATGGTTGTCCCCTTGCCTAAGCTCCAGTATTGCAGAGAGAGAGAGAGACACCAAATAAAAGAATGATGTTAGCTGTGGCCCTTGGTTCCCACATAAAACCAATATCTCAGTTCTGTTATTCATCTGTATAAGGTGAACCTGTGAACTAACCTTCCATTTAGCTGAAATCCTTCATGTCTTCTAGCTTCATTCATAGAGAAAAAAAAAGTTGGAAAAGGAGACAGATGGAGCTAATAATCCCAGTTTTTAGAAGATCCACAAGACTATCACAGACACAGAAGGAGTAACAGTAGTTAATCTCTTGGAGGAATACTGTTAACCGCAAAACATTCCCTTCTGTACCATCTCATCTCTGTCAATCTGTTATTGTTTGTAAATACAGTGTGCAGTGAACATCTGCTCTAAGTAAACAAAAATCAAACACTACCATGTATTTCTTTTATATGAGATTATAACCAGCTTCTATTTTTGAAAGTTGAGATAATTTCAATGAAATTCAAGTTAATTAGTGATTATACTATTAACAGGTAAAAATCTTGAAAGAATAAACGATTTTCAGACTTAAATCTTAAAAAAATGAAACATAAAACAAAGCAAAAAATCTCACATCATTAAATTCTAGCAATTTCTTTTTGTTTTCACATAAAGAATTCTTACCTGGGTATACTGCCTGTCAGGCTTCTTTCACTCGACGATGATGATCCCGGTCTTTGTTCAATTTTTGTTCCAAGATTCTCAGTTTCACCCTTCTGGGGTTTCTCTCCCTCTTCTTCTAGCTTCTTCTTTTCTGTGTCACTGTCATCACTCCCTTCTCCTAAGATGTCATCAACCTATCAATTGATCAAGAGTCAATATGTACATGAACTGATGCAAAATAAAGCAAGCAGAGCCAGTAAAACAACATACACAATGACTACAACATCGTGAATGGAAAGATCAACCACAAAACACGCACACACATCCTTCTCAGCTCCTTTACAGAGGTTTAGGGTTGATAAGTACGGCATATTGTATATAAGGTCAGATTTTTTTTTGATGTGCTAATTGGTTTACTGATTTTTTTTTCTTATTCCTCTCTTAAAAAATTCTTTGTTATGATGGGTAGCTCTCTGGGAGGGGGAGGAATAAAGTGATGGGAATTTTGGGAGACATAAAAACAAAAATATCAATAAAAATCTATTTTTAAAAAAGTTAATGTGTTCTTACATGTTTTCTTATATAGTTACTAACTCAGATATTAATGTACCCACACAAACAGGGCAGTAATTCATAGATTCCTATTTTAAAAATCCATGAAATAGACATATGAAAGATATGAATTTTAGACATTTATCAAAATTAACTAGACACTTATTCCCATGATATAACTACATGCTAACACTTAAAGATGACCAGTAACTCTTTAAAATTACTTATGATAATGTGAAGAGAAGTAAAGTACGGTAGTCTAAGGAGCATCAGATTTGGAGTCAGAGGACAGCAACTACTAAATAAATGTATGTTGAACTGAATGTCACCATTAGTTTCTTAAAATATGAATGTGTGAAAGCCCACTACAGAAGCGACTGAAGGATCCCTGCCCATTCTGTCCTGTTATATCAGCAGCTGTTTCAGACCTGTCATACAGCCCACTCCTGAATGGCTTATAAAGAAAGGACACAGAGACCATCAGTATGGTTACACTGTAGGAAATCAACCTTACAAAAACACTTGCTATTATTTGTGGGCCCACTGTTTTGCTAACTATTAATGTGTGATTGCTGTGAGAATTTTTTTTTACTAAAATCTGTAGGTTAAGTTGAACAGAACCAGTGTCATCCTTGGGCAAAGCATTATATCATAAGTTCACATAACTTTCTTCTCCCACTCTTCTGCCCTCCACTTTTCAACATACCCACATTCCAATCCATGGTTCTTATACGTCTTTCCTTTTAATAATCCCTTTATGATCCTGCCTCTGAAGTTGAAGTTTGTTTAGTCTGTACTGATTTTCATCTCTAACTCTACCACTCCTCTTAAAACATGACTTTCTCATTTCCCTGTCTCTGCCTATTTCCATATTGAGTTTAATGTAGTTTTAAGCCAAATTATGAGTACATGTGTTGAACCCTCCTTTGTTTAATTCAGATAAGAGTGAGGTTTGTGAGATGACTATCTATCCTTACTCCCTTCTCCATCTCATACACCTCAAATGTGAGAAACACTAAGCTCCTCCCTCTTCTCAATTTCTTCACTAATATACTCCTCCTTTGTTTTGTCCCCATCTTTCCCATCTCAAAATCAACAAGGCAGAACCAAACTACCCTAAGTTCCATGTTTGTCTTTCTTTTAAAATTTATTCTAAACCTAAACACATAAACACAAAAAAGAGATATCATTTCCATATGTATAGCACAACACAAAAAAAAAGATTTTCTATATAACTGTCAATGTCCACTTAATGTCTCCCGCTTTTTAAAATGAGTATAAGGAAGGGGGCAGCTAGGTGGTGCAGTGGATAGAGCACTGGCCCTGAAGTCAGGAGGACCTGAGTTCAAATCCGGCCTCAGACACATAACACTTACTAGCTGCGTGACCCTGGGCAAGTCACTTAACCCCAACTGCCTTAAAAAAAAAAGTGTATAAGGGGCAGCTAGGTGGCGCAGTGGATAGAGCACTGGCCCTGAAGTCAGGAGTACCTGAGTTCAAATCCGGCTCAGACCAAACACTTGACACTTACTAGCTATGTGACCCTGGGCAAGTCACTTAACCCCAACTGCCTAAAAAAAAAAAAGTGTATAATAAATTCTAAGTGTTTATTTCAAAACTGTCCTGGTTGTCCATTCTTCCTTCTGAACTCCCTTCTGTTGTGTTCCTCATGTTTGTTTTTCTGTGAACCTTTGAGACAGTGACATTTTATTCACTTATATTCACTTATTAGAATGTAAGTATTTTATCATCATTTAACCCCTTCTAATTTCTAAATGGCATTTTACCTTGCTAAGTTTCTCTGGTTTCCTGTATTTGCACTTTAATGATTTTACCCAACTCTGATCTTTTTATGAAGAATGTTTGAAAGTTCTCATTTATTAGAGGGCCGCATTTCCCCCTGGAGGCTTATACTCAGTTTTTTCTCAATAAATAATTTTTAATTGTAATACTTAGTTTTTTTGCCTTGTTGAAGACCATATCCCAAGATTTCCTCTTCTTTGTGGTATGTGCAGTGTAGTCTTGTGTGATCTGGTATGTAGCTCCTTGGTATTGGAACTTTCTGGCTGCTTGAAGTATTTTCTTTGACTGAGATGTTCTGAATTTTGGCTAAGATATTCCTGGTTGTTTTCTATTTGGGATTTCTTACAGGAAATGACAGGTAGTTCTTTCTATTTTCACACGTCTCCTGCTGTGCCCCCAAGTGCTCTGAAATGTATACTGATAGGACCTGTTTCCCTGTATAGTGAACTATGAAGTGGGACAATGGTAGTGCCTCTGTCCGTCAATACTACTCTTAGGGTCCAAATCCTGCAGGATTCAGGGCTCATTTCTAAGAGCTTGTGTTGATTGTCTCTCCCCACTCCCACTCCCACCCCCAATTTTCCCTGTAAAGATATCTCCATCCTTGCTTACAGAGTTCCCAGGTTTCAGGACATGTTCATCAGAGATCATTTCCTTTGTTATGTGTCTTTCTCTGAGCACCCATAAGCTTCAGGCCCTATTTCCTGGAGCTTATTCTGTCTTCAACCTAGCCTGCCCTTGTGATTCCACAGACTTCTGTCTTCTTGAAAAATTTTGGACTGGATGGAGAAAGCTTATTACTGTTCCTCTTTATTCTTCTTGATCACTATTCTATTTAGTGCTCTTCTGCTGGGATTCTTGTGAAAGAGCTGGGTCCTTTAGGACCTTTCATTTCACCAGCTTAACCTGAAGTCAGGCCATAGTATTCAGAGCTAAAAGCGATCAGCTAGTCCTGATGTGTCAAACACATGGCTTTCGGGTTCAGTGAAGCCAGCAATATGCAATGTTTCCCAAACCAGATTAAAAGCTAATTTGGAAACATTTAACAAAATAAATAAAAACACAACAGAATCTAGATAACATGTGGTTTTCAATATATGGCCTGCAGAGACAGTTTAGTTGCCCATTCCTATTTGAGTCTGACATCACTAATACACTTCATTTTACAATCCCCTCATTTTAGAGATGAGAAAACTGAGGCCCAAAGTTATTAAGCAACTAACCTAAGGTCAGACATTGGGGGGGGAATGCAAATGCAAATCCAATATATGGCAGCTGCAATCAAAGCTTGTTATAATTTTGATATAAGAGGCATGAAAAATAATACCAATGCAAGCAGGGACATTTTACACATTGTTGACTTCAATACTGCCCAGAAGGAAGAATCATGCACGGCCCATCCCTTGATAGTCTACATAGTAAAATATTCTAATATATGATACAGAAAAATGTATCAAATCTCATTTTAAAGAGGTGATCTTAAGCTAATGTTACATTAGAAATAAAAGTGTGTTAGTTTACTTTTAACATAGCCATATATTCTCATAGTTAAAAGAAAATATAGAAACACTTAATGCTAAGTAGTCAAATTTCATTTCGAAGTCATTATGGTTAATTTTAGGTTTTATTATTAGGTGGTTACAAAAAGCCAAGCATAAAACCAAAAGGCTTTCCTGAGGAGACTAACAAGGTACTTAGTAAAGAAAATCAAGTTTATTCTAAAATATCTTACTGGGATTTATTTGGCTGAACTTATCCATTGGTGAACTGCTTGACTGGTACTTTTTGTATAAGTGAATTGTGTACAGAAATATTCTATGTCTTGATATTCTGTATTACTGAGTCCTGTACAAGTACAGATAGAACATTTAATGTGAGAAATCTGGTATCACTAGAAATATTCAAATTGTTCTTTGGCACTCAAACTGACCCATAGTGCTTGTCTAGAGGAACTGGGCTAAGCTTTTTGTATATTTGCTTTACACCAAATATATACACGCAGGGGCTGGCGGGGGTGGGGAGAACAGGACAAGAGAGGGAAAGGAGGGAGAGAGGGTAGGAAAGAGAAAGAAAAAAAATACATACATACATATATCTGTCAAGTGAGAGCAGACTAGCTAGGTTTGGAGAGGCTCGTGACAAGGCTGGTCACAAGAGATGAATATTTTTTTAGGCACAGAAACTGTCAAAGACCATGTAAAGACATAGAGGAATTAAGAACTATGTTGGTGGAAGTGTACACTGAAGAAAATCCTTAAAATATTGATTAATCAATCAGCACAGATTAAAGCACCTACTACGTGCTAGGTACTGTGCAAGGTTCTGGGGCTACAAAAACAAAAGTAAAACAGTACTTGCCTTCTAGCCATGGAAAACAATATGTAGGTAATTTGGGGAAAAGGAACAAGCAGCTGGAGGAATCAGGAAAAGGTTTGTGTAAGTGGTAATGCTTGGGTATTCTGAAAGATAGGAGCCAAAAAGGAGTTCATTCCATGCACCAGGAACAGTCAGCACACAGAAAGATGAAGTGTCAAGTATAAAGAACAATAAAAGAAGCCCAGTTTTTCTGGACCATTCTATGCATAGTTGGAGATTCTATTTGACCCAAGAAGCGAGCCACCGTAGTTTACTGAGAGAGTAGTGACAAGGTCAGACTAGAGCTTCAGGAAATTCACTTAGGCTGTTGTTTAGAAAGTGAAGTGCAAGGAGGAGAGACTTGAGGCAAGAAGACCAACTAAAGATAATAATGACCGTACGTAACTATCTTGTGTTTATGTAGATGAATGGCAGGGATTTTACAGTCTTCAGGATTCTGCTGCTCTCAGCATATTTCTCCTAC